AGGGGGGTTGGACTAGATGACCCACAGAGGTCCCTTCCAACCCCTACTATTCTGTGATTCTGTGATTCTGTGGATGTGTTCCAAAAAAATGACTACTGCTTAAAAGCTGTAAGTGCCACCTAACAACTTTAGGTGTACTTCACCAAACTGGGAAAGGAAAAAAAAACCTGAAAAAGATGAAAGCACAAACCTGCTACCATGAAGCCTGCCTGAGCAAGCCATGGAATAGGGTATTAATTGAAACGACTTGCTAGCTGGAAAGAACCTGAATCCTCCAAAATCTGTCTGTCTATCTATGGCACCTCTGGTAGAAGAAGTCTTACTTACAATCTCTTACACAGCATAATCAAAGATAGCACTTGCATATCCCAAGCCCTCCTCAATCCACCTGAAGTATAAAGAAAGCAAAAACTCTTTGGAACAACTGGAACAGATGTTGCATTTCCTGAAAAAATTCATGGACACTTTGGGCTGCACAACCTTCATACCACATCGCATCAAGATGCTGTATTCACATAAGATCATTTCCGAGGACACAGTAGAAGGGAAAGCTTCTATGTAAGCACTTTGCTTGTTGGCTGTCAGAGTGGCTGAAGAGCCACACTAGTGACATCTATACATGCAAGTATCAAGGATAACAGGCCAATACCATTCCTTACAGCATTCAGTAAAGATTTAAATTCTATACTGTCCCTGTGCTGTCCACGACTAAGCTGCCAGTGACATGCTATATAGGCCTCACAAAAAAAAAAAAGAAAAAAGTAGTGAGTTACACAACCTATTTGGTGAAAAGCTCTAGACTTCTTTGCTCTTCTGACCCTTCCTTTTGCGGACAGGGGATTTGTCCTTAGACCTGGAAGAATTCCTTACTGGGATTGCAGACTAGCTACTCTGGTGAGAGCCATGAAGACAAAGATTTATGTTAGGCAGCAGACAGAGAGGTCAGCTCCCAGAGGAGTAAGGCAGAGAGTAAACTGGCTCTTCCCTTCATTCCCCCTGTCTTTCGAAAACTCCGATAAACTTCAGTCAAGAAAACCCTGGGACACGCAAGCAGCAAAACAAACTTACACAGAAAAGCCTTTGAAATGACAGTATCTTTGATTTTGTTCACTGTTTCCCACACTGTCAGTTGAGACAAATTTATTTGCAATTTTAAAAACATTCACTTCAGTAGAAGAAGTGTCTTTTTTTCAGTGTAGTTTTTGTCATCTAGGAAGCAGTTCAGTTCTTTTAAGAAACACTCTTATACTGGAATAAGGATACACAGATAGTGGTCTTTGGGCTGGTGAATCCACAGTGCTAAAGACTGTGCAACAGTCACAGGTTTTAAAACAATCTCAGATAAACAGGCACCTGTTCATTTCTAATTGTTTCATGAGCATGTCATACACAGGTGGAAAGCTGCTCAGTTGAACGGAAGTTTATGGGCTAGCTACTAACTGTGGCAAATACACTAAAAGGTACAGCAATTAGTACCTTAGGGAATGCAGAATTACCCACAGAGTAGAAAAATTACCCCATCATCATGTAAGCGGCCATTTTATTCTGCATTTTGGATTACTATCTCTTTCTTTTTAAAGAAATAACTGTCCAATCGCTGGATCACAGCTAATCTCATAATAAGTTACCAAGGGTGTATTCTGGCATGGTTAACCCAGATGGTTATCTTTCAGATCCTGAAGGGAACATACTAAAAAGTTTGTGCTCCACGACTTCTTCATCTTTGTCATGGGTTTGTTCCTCAAATTCAAAAGGTTATACCTCATGAAATACCAGGGAAGAGACTTTGATACATTCTTGGGAGAGAATGTGCTACACACGTGACAACTGTCTTGCCATAAAATTCATTTCAGCTGCACGCCACCACGCTCTTTTGCCCATAAAGAATGGGAGGCCCAGTGAGTTTATTAATAATGAACAGTCAGAGATGTGTAGCAGGAGATGTATCATTTCTATACCTACTGGATTTATCTGGTTTTCCTTCTGACTATTTGTGTGATCATAATACTTCTGTATAAAACAGATTTCTGGAGAGGGAGCTCCTGTAAAAAAAAACAACAAACAAACACAAAACAAAAGAAAAATACAGTCATCAAAGGAATTTTTAACAGACTTAATTTCTACATAACTTTCGTAACTCCATAAATTTCTACACAACTCAGTAACTGAGGTATATGTATCAAAGCTTCTGATATGCAATGGACTGAAGTGGCTCAACAGTGTATAACTAGACTTTGAAACTGCAATGTAGGAGAGGCCAGAAATTAACAAAACCAGCTGAGGGGAAAAATTATTTCACTCAGTATTCTGGAACCCTCCCTGAGTTCATACTGGAGATTAGCTCTTTCCTCTTATTTTTTAAACTAACAACTGGAGTTTTGGTAAGCTGCCTGATCTACCTGACTAAAAGTATTTGTACTCCTATATGGAATACTTTCGTTAATGACTATGGAAGGGAAGAACTTCTCTCTGGGGAAAAAAAAAGGAGAGAAACGAGAAACCCTTAAGGCTGGACCCTTTAGTTTCAAAACTAAAATGTTCCTACCGACATTAATAAAATACCATCAAATTAATCTTTATTTTATACATCTCAACACCAAATTGCTACTATACAAGTAAGCACAAATACATGAATGATGAAATACGATTTCCAACTTACTGAACATAAAATGTCACCTGCAGAATGGTAAAAATATCATAATCTATTACACTTAGAGAGACAAAAAAAACGCCCACCCAACCCTCAGACAAATCCTCACTTCGCAAACTGAACAATGAGTCCAATAAACATGCCTTAAACCATGTATGTTGAATGTTGCCAGACTGTAACTGCAGTGGATAACCACAAGTAAATTCAAAACGGGATGATGCGTCTTTCCTCAGATAAAACTATTGAGCAACTATGAAACATTCAGCATCAGGAAATCAGAGCCACAAGTTTCTGCAGATTTAAATGGGCTGTAGATATGATTTACATTAACTCAGAGTAAGTGGATAAAAACCGATAATCCACTCAGGTTTCCAAATTGGCAAACGGACAAACAAAAAAATAATCTGGAAGAACACCAAGAGCATCTAGTGTCCCTTAACCAATAGGCAGTCTCTGTACTGCTGGAATAAAATGTACAGGATGCAAGTCAAACGGACTACATTAAAATGCCAGGGAGGTACCAGTAAAACTATTACGTAACTACAACATGCTTGCTCATGCAACCTGCCCTAAGGGAACTATCAGGGAAGATTTTAAGGCTTTAAATGAGTATGCATGCATTTATATTTAAAGTAATTGAATAATACACTTAAAAGCATGCACTTCAATATCACTGCCCAAATTTTGTATCTTAAACTTAAAGAGAATGGATATATTAACAATACCAAAGGGGTTTTTTTAAGTCTAACCATAGTTACATATGACTATTATATGTACAGATTCCATTTATAAGACTATCATGTGTTTAGATTACATTTATTTTATTTTGCTCAAACACAATACGTGTATCTACATGAAAAGGACATCCCTATATATAGTTCAAATACTTCCCACGCCAGGTGTTCTCAGTTATAGTACACAGGAAGAATGGAGAAATTAAGAGGACACCTATCTTTCAAACACTAAAAATATGCTGAACATTATTCTAAAATATGAGCTATGGATATAATAAGAGAGCACACACAGTTCATAAGAAAGAACTTCACGCAACACTGAAGTTTAACTCACGTGAACTTGGGCAACATCCACAGCAACAGTTCACAGAAAAAAACAACACAGACTGAAAAAAGAATCTGTCCTACCTTCCGTAGCTCTTATTTCAGTTGTTACAGCCATGTCCTCATTAAGAAAAGACAACCTTTGCAAAATAAGAAAAAAAAATATATACATATACAAGGCTGTTAAATAGTTGTATGCTCTGCTTTTCAGTCCCATAAACCCAAAGGGGGGCTGAGGGCAGCCGAGGGCACCCTTCTCTGCCTGCATGCTGTCGGGACGCTGCTAACCGCACACCAGGCGAGCCACCTAACGCCGACACCACCACATTAGGACTCCCGAACTGCGAGGATATACCCCATCCTGTGCACAGAAAACCTTGGGAGGGAGGTACATCACCGCTTTACGTATTCCAAGCGATACTGGGCCAGAAAGCCAGTACAAAGGAATGCAGCTGCTTGGCAGTTTGAATTCTTTGCCATAGGATACAAGAGGCAATGTCATGAAAATGGTATCAAGTTAGAGTTGCGGAGACGTAACATCAGCAGCAATCGCATTTCACAGTGTTTACGAGTCGGTTTCTGGTATATTAACACTCCCACTGACCAAAACGTCTGGAGGCACAAACCCGGAGACCCACAAGGTGTGTGTAAAATCAGTGGGGCCATTTCCACAGCTGAGAACACTGAGTCTAACGGCAATCTGAACAGAAAGAGAAAAAAAAAAGAAACACCACAAAAAAA